ACAGTAGACATATGATAGTTGGTCAAATCTCTTGTAATTTCTCACAGTCTAGACGAATGTGCAGTCGATGAAGGTATCAAATTTCACCAGAGGCTTAACGTGCAGAAATAGAACTTCAGCATCAGATATCTAAGACAAAAAATGTTTAGAGCTGACGCAAATAGTTGATTAATTGAGTAATTACTATTGTGACAATAGAATGTGGCTTTCTGCTGCTTTTCTGTGTCATATTATTGTGAAGCGAATTTTTTTGAATTATCGACACATAAAAGTTGAAGATGTCACCTCAAAGACATAGTTTAATGTTCTGCAGTTTTATAAATAAAATTGATATTGACAGAATTGACAGATCAAAAATCTTGAAAATAACTGTAGGCCTTATTAACATTGACAAAACGTTTGTTTGGTAGTAGTGGTGTAACATGTGTTTGAAGCTAAATCTTTTAGTTAAGTCCAAACTTTTAAATAAAATAATGAGAAATTGGAGAACAGAAGTCTACCACTCTTCCAATCTGAACTTGTTAGTTCCTCACAGGTTTGGTGCACACATCAAGCTCTATCTTTAAATTGGAGTTCAGGTTAAAAGGTGATAATGGAATCCTCTTTAGCTGCGTTTTCTAATCTTACCATGCAAGGAGAGAAGCAAATGGGTTTTTTAGCAGCAGAATACAGGCAAACCAGGGCTGCTATTTGCCGACAATGGCCGACTCTGTTAAATTTAGTTTATTAACATCCTTGGTCACCTCAGTCATCAAAAGACTGGTTTCTGGTAGAAAATAGGCAGAAGACACAGTTGAAATGCGACAATAGAAATTTTTTTGGAAAGCGCGGACTAAAACAGGGGATACAGCGTTAGTAGAAAGAGATAAATCATTTAAGTCCGGCATTTTTGGAGCACAGTTTAGATGGCTCTGTGAAAAATAGAATACAGCAACAATAGATCAAATATGCAACTTAATGTAACCAGGAAAGGGTCTTGAAGAAATGTAAACAATATACTGCCTCATTTTACTGCATATATCCACTTAAAGTGACCACCCACCAGTGATGCAGGATTGCAGGGTTTTCTCCAATGCTCTGCTGCTCTGGTCTCTCCCCGTCTTATCTCTAACTCGCCTAACCATCCATTTTAACCGTCAATGACCTCAAAGCGCTGAGGTTTGGGCTGTAGAAATGAGTGGTCTTTCCCAAGTGGGCTGTTAGTCGCTGTGCTGCTGGTAACACATCATCCCTCCAACCCACCAACACCACCCCTCCACCTCCTCCTCCTCCTCTCTGGTGCATCACCCCACTCACTCACTTTCAATCTCTCCTCTCTCCTTCACTCCCTGGCTTCATATTGATCTGAATTCATTTGTTTCCTATTGATCTGCCACTCCACCCTCTGCCGCATTGAACAAACACAAGGACACACACCGTGTGCACACAAGCCTTGCACACGAACTCGAACAGAGACAAAATACCTATTTACAACACTGTTATACTCGAGCTGCTTTGAAGGTCAATATGCACACCCATACACTGCTGAGAAGACACACCTGAAATCCCACACTCTTCATGTGAGAGATTTCAGAGGCTGAAAACACGAAGGTTTCGGATCAAGCATCAAACAAGGTAATGATATACAAAGGAACCTGGATTCCATATTGATCCAACACCTCAGGGGGGAGTATGAAAACACGAGCAGTCTTGGGCTGGCACCAGCAGGCAACACAATTACAGCTGCAGTTCATTTCTCAGGTCTGCTCAAATCTACTCAAGAATAATTAGTACAACAAATGAGAGGAATTCAGTTTGCTGCCAATTATTCAGAGAGATATGTGAGCCAGGTCGTTTGTGGGAGTGATTGTGTGTTTCTTGAAGATAATTTACAGTCTTCAGGCTCAAAAAAATTGCAAATCAAGTAGTTCAAGTTTCCCTAAAACTGTGTTTCGCAAAGAAAAATGAGAATTCCAAAAATGGGATATATTGTATTGGAGATCCAGAACAAAAAACTGAAATAAATTGCCATTATACACAAATAAAATGTACAATATTAACATGTGTTGAATATATTACAAGAATAAGGCTGGTGTTTTGCCCTATTTTTCCTACTAAAATTCCATATAAAAACAAAAATGTAACAGTTGGTGGACGTTTCAACCAAAAGTACAGCCATCTTGTATGTTGCTTAACAAGGAATTTAAGTTTGAGTGATTATCACGCAGTAAACTGTTGTTGTAGCATGATGAGGTGATAGGAGAGAAATATCTGTTGAGCTAATTTTTCAAGAAAAAACACCAAATATTTTCCGTATTTTAGAATCTCACAATTCAGAAATAGGGTGCAGGACTGTCGATTTGCCAAAACAATCAACAGCTAGCAGAAATGCTTTAAGCCCAATATCACACTTTATTCCTTTACTCACCAGGTACTTAAAGAGAGGACAGTTTTAGCTCATGCTTTCCTTCTATTTCTATCACTTCTTTTCTTCGACTGAGGTTGGCATGCTTACCAGCGGGCCCTCATCCTGCCAGACTGTCTCATCACTTTCTGTACTCAGCCCTGAAGAAGAAGCGTTACTCATAGGTTGTGTTATAACTCTTCTAAACTCAATAATACATTCCTGCGATAAACCACATTCTGGAACACCACTAAAAGTTGTTCACACGTGTATACATGGATTTATTTTTAAAAAGGACTCACAGGGGAATAAATAGTATGTTTGCTAAATCCAGCTGCAGACTGATATGTGCTCGTGACTATTTATGTCACCCTGATGTAGTTTGTGGAATTGACTCAAAATTAGCTACAGACATCCAGGTTAATGAAAGAACATCCAGTGCATTGGTGTGTTGAGGTGCTTTAGATTCTGTTCAACACCATAGTTTTACAGAGGAACACAATTATTCATCATTAGGATCAAGTCATTGTTGGTTTTGGTTTTTCTACGGAATTTTATGATACAAAAATATATGTGAATCCTTTGATTCAGCGTTTAGAGAGTCTGGTCTCTCTGACATGTTGACAACTCTTTCTGCTCCAGCAGCCACTTTAAACGTTTGGTTGGTGGCATCAAGTTGCCATGAAGCCAGACTGTTTGTCCTGCCCTCTGACCTCCTTCTAGGACATGCTGTGCTCAGTGAGAAAGCATCTCCAGCAGCAACTTAAGTTCAAAGGGCCGGGGGGGAAAGAAGGGGGGAGACGCTGTGCTTCCTCTCTAATATTAGAGAAAATGCACCGCAGGCAATACTCACACTCCCTAAATGCATGCAGACAGGAACACACAGACCCATTATACATACACATGTGGGAACTAATGAGCACACACCAACACAAAAGCAGCACATCTCGGTCTCCGTTGTCTTTCATGGTGTTGCAGTTTCATAATTATTGCATTTGTTTGGCTGGCTGCTGTTTAATTTATGTCTCATTGTATTTTCTAACATTTTAATGTATTATTCATCACGTTGTCTTAACCGTATCCTCTGTATGTGTATTTTTGCACCCTCTCATTCATGTTTTGTGGATGACACAGTATTAATTCTCACCATTTTATCCCACTTTGTCATACTCTGCACTCAGTGTCACACAATGCGTCCTCCGTCATAAATGCTCGTGTCTCCATCCACTTCTTTGTGATGGCGACTGCTTGATCTCTAATCGGGGATGGGTCCTCTCTGATTTAACTGTGTCGTACTATTCTTTCATGATTGTGCCCAGGAAGATTTCTGCTGAAAACAGCACTACTTGGCCATGTGGCCTGGCTCAAAGCCCAGATCGGGTTGTGTCAAGAATGGCTGACATTATTTATTTACTTATCCAACTTCATGGCCCAGTGTATTAATTGATGTTCCCATTCCTTTCCTGTGGTATGCTAATAATCTGCATGATGCTCTGCTGATTTCAGGAATGCCATGGTCAACTGAAGCTCCCCAGTGAGAGCAGAGCCATGGGAAAAGCCTCCGACTAGATCCCGGTTATGAGGTAAATGTTTTGGCAACATCTTCCGTTGCTTCCCGTTCATACCAACAAAGACTCTTTGAAATCTGACTGAAATGAAAGGGAGAGCAAACAGCTTGAGAGATCAGAGCTTGTGATGGAGAAAGTCAGCACCAAGTATACAGAGAGTCACTAACATTTCCATGTCTCTCATGTCCTTTTTCTTCTGACACTCCCTCTATGTCTCTTTTATTTTTATTCTTATCATCAAACATAACTTTGTTCTCACCATAAATACGTAATGAAGGAAAATTGTCATATAACCACCATTAAATACAGACAACCTAAAAAGATTAAAGCTGAGAGCCATCATGCATGTTATTGTTATTCAGTATGACTGCATGTGAGACTTTGTGTAAGTGCATGCATGATTATTCTCTCTTTTTATTTATCTTATACAAACACACTTTAACACAAGAAGAACAATTCATAGCAGCCTCCCATTATTTGTCAGCCACAGAGTCAAACCATCAAGAAAACCAATTCAAAATGGTACATATAAAAAATAATGACATACTGGGTACATATAAAGCAGCCATTATGGAAAAAGAACATTCAACTGTTAATGTACATTTTTGTCACGCTGAGACGTGGTTGGTGAATGTGCACACAACGCCTCTCCTACTCTCACACAGCAACACACACATGTAGAACACACACACATGCAGACTGGCCCACACAGCCCAATAGCCACTGACAACAGTGCCCTAGCAACCATTGGGCATCATGCCAAGCCAGGGAGGTTGCCTAGTAGTGTGTTCCCATGGTAACATTTTCTGCCTTTGTAAATAAGGTACGAGAAGAGTGTGGGGGGGGGGGAGAAATTGCACTACGGACTCTCATTTTATCCTGAGAGCTAATAATGTATGGTTTGTAAGTAGCAGACACGTATTCTGTCCCTGCACCAAGCTATCATCTGACTGAAGAGTTGCATTAGTATCGATGGGGATCTCAGGTCCGAGTCCTCACCACACAGGGTAACATCCTGTTTTTGATGGAAAGCATGTTCATTCTCCATCTCTAAATAATTGCTTTCTTAGAAATGTTTCTTGGAAAGGACTGATCCCGGAATGCTGCTAAATTAAATTTCAATGTTGGACACGTTTTCTAAGAATATTTTAATTTATTATCTATTTCTCTCTCCAGATACTCACAGTCACTCGTCTATCTCATCCTATTATAACTGTTACTCAGTGATTTATCTTCAATTGCGTTCTCCTAAACAGTGTGTGTCCCTCAGTAAAATCAGCAGGATCAGCGCTGGTCTGTGGTCCCGACTTTGAGCCCCGCATTCCTGTTGAGGTGGCACTTGCCAGACAATTCATAGCTGCAGTTAACAACTGCTGTCACCGGGCAGATTTCGCTCCTGCCCCTACATTGTTTGGGTGGTAGTCTCCGTGCGTCACTTCTCAAAGACGAGGAGTGGTTGAAATCCACCTAAAATCTTTGTTCTATCTTATACATCAAAGCCTAAATGTTTTAGGTATTTTTTGACGATTTAATTTTGAAGACAACAGAATATTTACGGTTCTCAAAATCTAGAGATCGATTGTGTCAAAAAATATACACAAAATATATTAAATTCTATAAGTCATAGAAGTCATGGTTCCAAATGTTTTATTTATACGAAAATATAAAATAAAATTTCATATTAAAATTGTTCAATTTGATTTAGAAAAGTAGTTTATTCCAGACAAATACGTTTGTATTGTAGTATTGTTGTCGATTTGGTAATTATTTTGTTATGAAAACTGAAACTAATCAACAAAGAAACTTAAATATGGTCATATGTATTATTATTTTTAATGTAGATACTTTGGTGTAATCTTAATGAAGAAGCACCTACATCCGGTTTTCATTTCACAAAATCTTAAACACATACAGTGGATTTTCCCAGTAATGACTGAGAAACAGTTTGTTGTCACTCAGTATTGTCTCAGCTGCTGTTAGGAGATTAACACATAATGATCATGTGCCTGATAATCCATATCCCCAAAGCCATTCTTGGATATGATGATTAAAATTTAAATTAAATCAACAAATTGAATTAATAATAAATTAAATTTGAGAGATTTACAGGAACATGCTATTTTTAATTTTGCTCATGGGCCAAAATCACCAAATACTTTTGGAAGTGATAGAACAATGTTGTAAATTGTGTTTACACCAGCAACCTTATTACCTGGCAGGTTAATGTCCAAATGCCCATGCTGAATATTATGACTCCATTGAGTCATAATATGACATTTTATTCTAAAACAGCCAACATACAACCGTATTGTAAATTCGGTAAAACCAGGCAGCTGCTAGTGGCAGACGTCCGTATAACATCTTAGACACAACAGTTAACCAGCATTGTACATTAATAAAATATTAATAGTTTGCTTAACTAACTAGTATTTCTGGTGGTGGCGCAACCAGTTTTCTTAGGGATTTTAGGCGTACCTAAATATTTACTTTGGCTCAACACGATTAATTTTTATTCGCTCTCTCCAGAGGGTAAATTGTAATTCTCACAAAGCTTCACCTGACCCGACACCAGCCTGCAGGGGCTTCCCACCAGACTCACTTTGGCAAACAAACACACCCAAGCAGATTGGCAAAGAGCTGGCATTGGCACAACCATGCCGCATTCATGCGTGATTCGACTGCGAATGAGACGGTGAGAGAGGTTAAAGAAGGGGAAGAGAGGAATCAAGGGGAACGGGGGGGCGTGGGGGACTTTGTTGGTATGAACAGAGAGATTTTCTGTGAAAAAAAAGTTAGAAAAGATTTTGAGCCCTGAAATGTTTGGTGATGAAGGACAAATAAGAGGCACTTAGAGAGGCAGGAGGACGGCCAGAGAAAGAAAATAAAGGGGAAGGTGGAGGGTGGGCTTTTAGCATGGCAGAGGGCAGTGGAGAGAGGCGAGGTGAAAGGGTTTGTATTTGGAAGCTGGCCAATAAAGAAAAAACTATGTCTTTATCAAGCACATGCAGCTACCAATCCTTTCAAATTTAACACTTACTTGGCTCATTTTTCATCTCCTGATAGATAAATGGTAAATCTTAACAAAGTTAGGCTTATAACAAATGGCTTTTATCTCTGTAGTGTACTAGAACCAGACCCATTATAGCCATTCATCATATTATACATATTTGTATATATGTCCTATGTGATTTATATTAATATGCAGTGCAGGTCCAGGAAGCTGATGGAGTGAGTTACTTTCTTGAGGAATCAATGATTTACCAGCAGTGTGTTTGAATCCAGCTTCATCGGTGAGGCCTCAGTCATTTAAGACTTTCAGGTTGTATTTTTGGTGCATTGACCACGATGAATAGGAGGCCTAACAACTCTGCAAGTCATCAATGAGTCCTTGAGGCTCACACACGAAGTGTCAAAACACAGACACTGACTGCTAACAACGGCCAATTTGCTGCTTTTGCAGGAGATCACCTTAGCTAGATGTCGAATGTGTGGGTGTGCCCCATTATTTATGGAGGATAATGAGGGAGATTGACTGGATAGTGCTGATACTCCAAATTGTCATTCAATTACTCAGCCATTAGATTTGTTACACTGAAAACTGCTCCAGAATGCACCGATTCCTGCCTCACCATGAATGCCTCATTAAATAGTGCAAATTAACTTATCCTGTTTAAATGTGAAATAGAAAAAACACAAACTGACAGACATGAAGTGGACAAATCTATCATTTATTGTCTGAAAAGTTAATTCATTCTTCCACACATTCTTCCACTGGCTCATATTCGGCCCATCCACGGCTTGTAAGAGGCATGGCCATTTCCACAGGCGACACTCAGCCAGCATTATTTACTGGCTTCTCTGTAGTACTGCAGAACTCTGTAGGGTGCTTCACTCCTGTGACACTGTTTGGCCTCATTAATACAAAGAGACCTACTGCAGCTATTCAAGGCTTGGAGAATATTTTACCTTGATGTGGTTGCTAGGTGGAGAGAGAGACAGAAATACACAAAAACGTGATCCTAAAATGCTTTGAATGAAGTGACCTGCACACATGCATATTGCAAGCTATGACAGGATCACATATATTATAGATGTATTTTCAAGTCCTACAGGGCTGTCTCTTGTTAACGCATCGGCCACAAGTATGGTTTGTTATGATTAATTCATTTGCAAAAGTAGAACTTATTTCATGCTGCAAATCACAGATTGCATGTTGTAAATTTAAAAAAATGACATACCTGTTTAAAGGGGCACACCTGAAGGTGGGGCAAAAGTCATAGAGATGCAATGAATCATACAAATTTGGCATAATGCAGCGCAAGTTTTCCAGTTTTTTTGCCTGACAGACGTTCATTTCTTGTGTTCAGTATTCATAGTGAATAAAAAAACTCAAACTGCTTTCACAGCTCTGCACACCTGGACAGATGGGCGTGAAGTCTATTTTGGAAAATTGCAAAAATAATTAGACAAAGCCCTAAGGTGTTTTTTCACAAGCACTTAATTTGAAGCCTTGGAAAGAGAAGGCAGGGTTATTTTTATTACAGCTTCCAACAAGGCAACAATCAATGCCTTAAATAAGACATAAAAACATTAAGACAATATTAAAGACAATAATAATTGATAGACATAAGTGATCTGGATCAGAATCTAGTAAGGTCTTCCCTGACCCTTACTGCACCACTTTACCAAGTTTCATGGTAATCAGTCTGGTAGTTTTTGTGTAATCTTGCTAACAAACAAACAAATGCAGATGAAAACATAACCTCCTTGGCCGATGTAGAAACAGGACCAGTAGTATCTAATATGTTGAGTTAAAACACCACCATAGTGCAGAAGAGACATGACGTTCCTGAAGGAGTGATATCTGAACTAAAGTTAGTGGACTGACAACAGAGGAGGAGGATTCGACTTTAACCTCAGGATGACAATGAGGCGCTGCTCGGTGTTGCTGAATGGAGTCTTTGAGGATATGGAAGATTCCATCAGCTCCACTTGCAGAAGTAGGTCAGGCAGACGCCTACAGTAAGCAACTGCAGGTTAAGTGCTCGTCTTTGTACTCGGAGACAGCCTTGGCCTCTTGTGGGAGGGGACTGGGTTTGGGGGGGGGGTCTATGTTCAGTGTCTACCCACAAGAGGGAGACAAGTCCACAAAAATGCATGGAGTGTGTAGATAGTGAGTCTTAGCTGTTATTCCTCAAAATTCCAGCAATATCCCAATATGAAACTTAAATATTACAGCCACAGGCTCAGCTTTATTGTATGCAGTCATATTATATTGATTGATTTTGGTTGGATCTACATGGTAAACATAATATTTGAAAAGATTCTGAAACATGTATTGATTTTTATTCATCTCAAGCTTTATGATGAATTCAGATAATGATGAATGAGATGTGAGATATTAGTGGGACGTCAGACAGGCAGAGACAGACAAAGCCAGACAGACAGAAGACTCTGCGTGGAGGAGGAAGAGACTCCAGCGCTGACCCTGCTCCGGTGCTCTGCAGTGTGAGGTAGTTGGTTGTATGGTTTCGCATAATAAACAGCCTGGAGATAACTGTACAACCTTCTAGCTTTCCCTGCGGAGTCACACACACTTCGTATGAACGCCATCGGTGCCCGGGCCGCTTGAAGTGGTGAGTACGAAGACACGGAAAAAGGAGAAAAGGGTTTCAGAATAGGAACACGACAAAGTAATACAGGAAAGGGGATTCAGGGGATTTTAGAGCTGTACGTGATATTAAACAAGATAATATAATGAAGTTGATCCATTTTATACAGTTAACTAGCTTTTTGTATGTGTCTTGTACATTTGAAACATTTTTTTATCTCTATAACCAAGCGTCTGGTATACTGGTGAATAAAACTCTACATATATTCTCCGACAAATTCAATTCCAACCTCACAATAATAAGAATTTCATGCAAACAGGCTACAAACTACTTCTACACTGACATAAACATCTGAAATACTAATTAGGTTTTGCTGTCAAGGTCCGACTAATCCAGACGTCAATATACCCACCTTGCTCTGCAGTGCTGTTTGATTTGTTATTTGGTGCAGTCCAATGGGGTATAGAGCCAACTATCGATAGCTGTTTCTTAGCAGCTGCGCACAAACACACAGTGTCTCTTTAGAGGACATTATGCTGGGATGCTAAAAAAGGTCGGCCCTGTAGAGAACTCGTATTTTAAATTATTTCTTTGTGTGTCAGGGTTGTTTCTGCTGCTGTAAATCAGATAAGCTGCAGATCCATCAACAGTTAAAATTATCATGACACAAATGTACGAATATAAAGAGTTTCATCTAGCTGTTTATTCAGTTGAAATAATGATCTTCTGTAGTAATGGTAGATAAAGACGGCCAGACATTAGTGCCACTGTGTCCTGAAACTCGAGGCTGTGCATGAACTTGCTTACCGCCTCCGCCTCCTTCCTCTCTCCCCATCCTCTCCTTCCTGCCCCCCCTCCCCCTCCCTCCCCCCTGTCCCCCAGTGTGTCTGGCTAGTGGCTCAGACACTCAGTATCCGCATTGCGTTGCAGTGCTCCAGTGAGGAGGGGAAAAAAGAGCATATATCAGCAATCTCTGCCGAGCACTGCTCTTTTTCTGTGCGCACACAAAGAGACGACTCCCCGGCATGTTCTGACTCCAGAGGAAATACAGTCACAATAGAGCCGCCTGCCACCAACTACATTAAAAACAGTGTCAGTAAATCCGTGTTAGTTTTTATTTTTAACACCATCGTTTCATCCGTGTGGCTGACAGATATTTCTTCCTCTTAACAGCTCTATTTTCTTGTTGGTTCCACTCAAGTTTATCATATGGTATTCTGTGTCATCGCTACTCAACACATTGAAATAATTCACGTTTTTTAATTGAAAATTATTTAAGCAAATTTTACAAAATGTTTTTTTTCAAAGTTCAATGATTTTATTTCACGGTGAACTGACAGCTTTCTTATCGCTCACTGCATGAAAGTGGTTATTTGGGAATTGGTGCAACCAAGGCGGTGAGATTGATATGTGATGAACTGTGCAAAATGCAGCCTGGTGTGTTGATGAAATATGGAAGAAGAGCCGCAGTTTTGTGGTCACGTCGGCTGGGAGGTTAATCACCTTTGGGCTTTGCTGTGGCTTTGCTCCTCACGCTGTTTAAAATCCACAGCCTCCGTCTGTGAGATCCCCCCCAACCCCCTCCCCACATACAGACTACCTCTAACGCAGATGCACGTGTTCACAGCAGTGCAAAAGGACATGCGCACACACCTCACACTCGTTGACTCTCTCCTCTCTCCTCCTCCAGATGCTCAAACATACCAGCGCAAGTTCAAACACACGCAAACAAACAGTGTAACAGACACCCGTGTAGAGAGACATGGCGTCGTGTGAATGTGCGCTGAAAAATGGGTGAGATGGGACGTCATGCCTAGAAAAAAATGTAAGGGGTTGGGGGGGTTGTATAGGAAGGATGAGGGAATGAGGGGAAGGGCTGAGACAGAGCAGGGGGAGGTTGGGACAGAGTAATAGAGTGTTCAGGCAAGAGAAGAAGAAAGAGCGATAGCTTGAGATACTGCATGCTTGCATAAGTGTGTGTGTGTGTGTGTGTGTGTGTGTGGTGTATGTAGGTGACACAGATTTATGAAAGCAGAGGGTCATAGATGGAGGCGCTGTTGGTGGTTGTTGGGGGTTGGTGGAAGTGGTACAGCACCAGATAATGGAATCAATGCAATTGTCTGTGTGTTTTTTACTCTGTGTGTGTGCGTGTGTGTGTGTTTTGTGTGTGTGTGTGTGTTGTGTGTGTGCCTGGCTTACCTGCCTCATACACATTGCTTGCTCGGACTCTAATTGCCTGGAGAATTAGTGATGTGACTTGGCAGAGGGAAACGGGCACAAAACAGAGCCAGGGACAGCGCCTGAGAGAGGGATAGAAGAAGAGGAGAGACAAAAAGAGGAGAGCGAGAGATGGAGGGGTAGTGAGAGGGGAATAGCTTTTCTATTCGCCGTCGTGTGCAGCGCTCAGAGGAAAGGGAGACTGAAGATGGGGCAGGATAGGTTTTATCAAGCGTTATTTTCTTTACCACTGGATTAATTGATGCTTTTTTTTCTCTCAGGGGGAAAACGGATCAATAACTCATCGTGCTGTGCTCGGTGTGTGTGTGCACTTGTTGTATGTGGGCGTGCGTGTTCATGTAAGGAACACCAGGCAAAGACAAATGGTGAGTTCACAATGACTTGAGCGGGCCGGCTAACAAACGAGAGACAGTTCGACCAACCACGACCACTCGCCGTCTTCCCTTCATCTGTGTGCACCTTCTTTTCTTCTTTTTTTGAAATGAGAATATTTTACTCCATTCTCTCTCGATCCACAGCTCTTTGTCTCGGGCGCTTTACAGAGCAGCAGAGGAGCTGATGAAACTGGGACAGAGGAAAATATCTCAAAGCACAGAGACAAAGAGGAAACGGAGAGAGCTGGTGTCATTTCTCACACAGGCTGCGAAACGCTTTATGTTCTGTGTTCCTTTGTGTAGTTGTTGCGTGTTTGTTTGATTGTATGCGTGTGTGTATACCTGGGCAGACAGTAAGTTGGAGACATTTCCTGGATTGTTGTCGGACGATAGAGTTGTCGATGTGATGCAAATGGAGTTTTTCAGCTGTGAAGCAGTTGTTTGAACGCAGGCTCATATTCTGCATGTGGCATCTGCAGTGTCAGGCTCTTGTGACATTTATCTTGTCTGTGCAGGAGTAAAATCAGTGCTGCTCCCTCAAGGCTGAACGTCTCTTTTTTGAGGGGGGGGGTGTCATGGGGGATTGCATAATCCTGTGAGATCACAAGGCCTGTAGGAAAATGTAAGATGACAGTGTTGTCTGCGGCTGCAGGCACAGCTGTCTGTGGACGCTCCATGCGTGAGCACATGCAAAGAGACGATGTTGTGTGTGTGTGTGTGTGTGTGTGTGTGTCTATGAACTGTTTGACCGCTCTGTTGGAGCTTAGTGCTCGTACAGGCTGGACGGCCATATGCTCATCCCATATGCAAATCCAGATTTATACATTAAATTTGAGGATTTTCCTCTGCGAGCGCGTGCGTGTGTGTGTCGTCAAATGCTTTGTCTATCTGTCTGCCAGCAGGGGGCATTTCATTGGAACGTTTCACTGCACAGACCCGCACTGAATAACAGGCGCTGGCTATGTCAGGAGGAAAGACAGTGAAAGGGCCCCGAAAATGAAATGAACGGATAAATAACGCCACGACAATCGATGTTTACATGTGGATTTACATGTTTTAACCTTTGTCTCTTTCTCTTGCAGGATGTGATCGAGTCGTGTTTGAGCAGACCCGTCCAGACGAAACATTTCATGTCGGACTTCATCGGCATAGATAACGGTAACAATCAAATATGACGCAATAACTGTCTCTTATTTTGGAGAATATTTTTCGTTATAATATAAAATGCTGTGTGTCTGTTAGTAATAAAAAATGTTTAATATGTAGATTTAAAGTTAATCTCACTGAGCCTGCTCGATAAAATTATTCATACGTCACTGAAATATGTTTTTTTAATGTTAACATCGTATATAACTCCCAGTAGGATTTAAGTGTGTGTCAGTGTGCATCTTTGTCCCTGAGACCCTTAACCTGTGATGATATGAAAGGTCACAGGTGAGGTCCTTGGGAACAAAGGTGCATGCAGCTGCTTCTGGAGACCACGACATTTCCTGACTGAGAGAAAACTTTTCATGTTGCCAGACAACTTGTTATCCTCTTTTTAAAATCATGAAAAGTGTGATAGATCAGAGTGAACAGTCAGAATGAAGATGTTATGACTGCATGAAGTCGTCTGGAGAGAATTTCCCAAACTCCTCTGATATCAGGAAGGGCTGAGAAGAGACGACATGGTTCTCTGGAGGGGGCAGTGCCTTTTTGGCGAGCTTTGTGCTTACACAGTTCAATAAGAAGGCAGCCAGAGGTCGTGACCCCGATGTATGATTCACATGGGATTTTTAAATCAGTTCACGGAAGCTGAATATGACCGCAGACTGGAAAAACTCTATTAAAAGAAAAGCAAAGTGTCATCAGCTTGATCTTTGAATTTTTTTAAGGTCCTCACATCATCTTTTGTTCGGGTTAGAAGGAGTAAAAATTTTCCTTTTTATAGGGCTACTACTATTTAGTTTGATCGTGACATATCAGATTGTTATGTTACAAAACAGAAGATGTTTGAATATTAACTCTATTAAAAAATTAGTTGATTATTCAAATAGTTGCTGATTCATTTTCTTTTGCTCACTTTTAATTTTGATTTAATTTCTACATATGAATGAAATGCTCCCCTCTCTGGATGTTCAGATGTTCCCTTTTTAATTAAAAGAAAATATCACAATAAAATTAAAGAAATGTTAAAAACTCTTTGTGTTGTTTTTGTTAAGTAATGTGTTCATAAAAGAATTCAATGTGTAGTCAGTTGTTTTCTGTTATGTTGGTAGCAAGAGGAGAAAATGTTTTTGGTCACAGAGTCATGAATTAAATCAGTGCAGAAACCATCAACATGTGATATTAGGTGCATCACAAGTCTGACCACACACATCCGGCAGTTTCCAGGCGAATAAATGAAAGCGATGCGGTTGCTCTGTCGGACTCTCGCCCCCGACTCAGCCGGGGCGTCAGTGTGTTCCCTGGCTCGCAGCCTGTGTGTGTTTGTGCATCCCAGGACAGTTGACATTGATTGTGCGGGAGACAGACCGAGACACATTAGTACCCAGCTCGGGACCGCCGCTGAAAAACACATTAACTGGCTGCATTGGGAGCACTGTCTGGTAACCATGGCAAAGCACACAGGGAGGGAGGAGGAGAGGGAAGAAGAGGGGGAGGATAGAGGGGGTGAGACGGGCCAGTGGGTTCATCGCTCAGTCTCTCAGGGTTTGTCTTTCTCAAACACTCCTCTCCTTTCCTTCGGCCATGTCTGTCATTTTCCCTCAGCCTCTCTCTCCCTCTTTTGAAGTGACAGCCTCTCTCCTTCTATCTCTCCCCCCCTCTCACTCACATACAAACACAATTTGCATGTCTCTCTCTGTCTCGTCTCTTGCCTTTCTCCATTGACCTCATCACTCACCTCATCCTCTGCCCCCTCATCTACCCCCCCCCCCCCCCCCCCCCCCCCCCCCCCCCCCCCCCCCCCTCCACGACATAATCTACCTCTCTCTAATTTGTCTCTTCTTTGCTTTTTCTTCTCGTTTTCTCCCCTCATGCCTTTTGTTCTCTTGTCGACATGGTTCCCCTCTGTGGAGACGCACAGGAAAGACAAGAGCGAGCTGGAACTGATGCTGACAGACGTGATGATTTACCACCATCACACTCGTAATATTAATAAGTATGTATAGTGTTCATTTTGATTTCTGACTTTATTTTATACGCAGTAGATGATAGATTATTATATCGTATGTATCAGGCCAGTTATTGCTCATTTCTTAAGTTTACTCATCTATTCTATACATCTGTTCACTGTACCTGTGTGGTTAATAAAGTTTATCTTCTAAATCATTCACATCCTTTTTAAATAAGACTCAGGCTTGTCTCCAAATTGCACACACTCATAAAGATCAGTTCTCTAAACATGTCCGTTGTTCTTCATCAAGATCCATAATTGATTCTCCGAGAAATCAATGAGATTGTTGAAAAATCCCTCGACCTTCTCGATGTTGAAGAAAGTGTCCGTGCCCTGATCTGGATCCAGACCAATATTGAACTATTCTGTGGGTCATGCCCCACCCCTCCTCGAGATTTCATGGAAATCAGTTGAGTATTTTTTTATTTTCATTAATTTACATGAGAAGACTTTGAAATTGAAAAGCGATATTTTTAACTCAGCTATGTATCGTTTGCTGAACCACAGTGTGACCTTAGTAGCTGCAGGATGGGGGTGAATAGTGAAACAGAAGCTCAGTTACTGGTCATATCTGACTAAAGATGGCTGACAGCAGGAAAACTCCCGAGGGTTACTGACTTCACCAAGAGGTTGTTTAATTTATGAGGAACGTTTCATTTGAAAGAGGAACAACTTGTTAATTCTTCTAAAAGTTTGATTGTCTCACTTAATATATTTAAGTTGTTAAATCAGCAAATACTAGTCCGTCATTTTCATCACTTTCTTTCATAGTCATACACACGAAAAAACAGTTTGAACTGAAATATATAAATCTGATATTGTGTATTGTGTCTTGCATATACAGCCAACTTGAAAAACAGAGCTGAAAACAACTTTTGTCTCCTACAACAATCAGGATTTCCCTCTGAGCACAAATAAAGCTTTTAATAATCTTCTGACCAGAAGAACTCTTCTGAAATGACATTCATTCATTTTACTGAAAGGTGTGATGCAATCTCATCTCCACCCTATACTGTCATGTTCCACATCTAATAGATAAAACCAAAAGCAGAAACATGCTCAGTCTCTAATTGTTATGACTTCATTCGAATGCGAGCAGATTTTGGAGGTTTTATTTGGAGATTAGTTCCTTTTCATGATTGTGGATGACATTAGATAAACTTTATCGATCACATGCAGGAGCGTCAGAGCAGCAGACAACACAAGAACACGTTTTGATAAGATACTTAAAATATAAAACTACAAATTGAAGGTACTAATCACTGCACACGCACAGATACGCTGCAGAAAAAGAATCTGTAAAATAGTATCACAAAACGAGGAGACAATAGATTTGTGCAGTGAAAATATGAAATAAAACCAGTGTGAGCTCTTCAGATGTTAGTGTGAGAATAGAGACAGAAACCTGTGGTAGGTAGGAACTGAGACTCTGCGCTGCTGTTTCCTCCGGAGCCTCCGGAGCGTCACGGACGGCCGGAAGTGGTCGCAAATTTAAACAGCCGCCACAGCGACAATAAAGACGAACTTTGACTTTACGGCGTCAAATGAGCTCGAGTGCGGGGAGAAGCTGAAGCGGAGGCGCACGGAGGATTTGTTTCAGGTGAGATACTCGCTCTGTTCCCCGCAGACGTTCTTCTGCTCTGCGCCGCTCGCTCCCGTCTCCACCGCCGACGATGTCGAACCTGACTATCACCTGGAAAACAATCTGCTCCAGAGTCGTCGCGCTTGTTTGAGGCCTCGCATCTGAACAAATCAATCGTTATTCATTGACAGCTGGTGAAGGTGGAAGATGAAATCATTTCTAAATGAATTCTATGTGTTTCGTGTGTAAATACTGAGCATTAAAGCACTAAATGAGGAATGTCAGCATGTGGCGACGTTAACCGGGCACATGTTGTTGTTGTTCGCCTCATGAGGACCATCGCTCCCGCCGCTGCAGGATTTTATACCAGAAAATAGACACAGCCGTTTTAAACCCACCAAACAATTATAGAAAATATGAAAATATTACTCTTTGTTTTTTGTTACTTTGAAAACTAGAAAATCAGCGGAGATTATATTTGTTCCCTCTTGTTTTCATTTAATTGAATAATATCAATTTTTGTACATTAAAAAATGTGATTTCCTCAAAGTTTCGTTCATCAGTGAAACACAAATCCTTCAACTCGTCAGATTTAAGTGATGTTCAGATTTACCAACAGAGTTCATGTAAATAAAGTTGTTATTGTGTCATAAGTCTCATGAGCAAGGTAAATAGTGTTATTAGATTATTTGAGCTAATCGATAATCAAAGTAATAAATGCAGATGTTCAGTTTCCACTATATTTGAAGCTGACAGATTTTCAAATGCACGCTCCAACATCTTAGATATCATTTCACCGTGTCCGGATATTAATGTGTAGCTTTAAATTGTTTAGGTTTTAATCAGGTGTCAGTTTTTAAAAAAGACTTTCTTATACAAATTCATCTAAATTATATTATTTTTCCACGACAGCAGATTCATACAATAAAACAAGTCAGGAAATCTTTAGTCCCTAAATTCACTACATTTAGTTTTTATCACCTGATATAACCAAAGTTTTCCTCAATAAAACATCTATTCTGTTATGTTGCAGGACTTGTTTTGATTATTACACAAAATCAGCGTGTTTAGTTAGAATATTAATTTTTTGTTGTCTGTTAATCTGCAGGTTTTTTACTTGATTAATCGAGTGATCTTACACAATATCCTTGAGTACAAAATCATCATTCATCTAGTTTTGTCCGACTGACTGTTTAAAACCCAAATTTTCAGTTTACACGCTGAAGGATAAGCAGCTGGTTCTGATTAAACTGATTAATAAATTGTCAAAGAGTTGTTGGTTAATTTTAAATTGATTAATCGATTAATTAACAACTTGTTGCAGCTCGAGTTAAAACTTTAAAGTGTTTTTATTGTTTGATCACATGACGTCAGTGTTGGACTGAGAATTGAGAATTACACATCTGTAATCAATATATTATTAACTGATGATGTCAATGTTGAATTTTAAGGTGCAGTCGGATCAGAATTGGTCCAAGCTGCAGGCACCGGTATGGAAGAAGAAATAAAGATGGCCGAGACAGAACAAGGAGATGATGCAGGCAAAGAGGGAGAGTCCAGTGCAGACATATCCATCAACAGCAGTCCCATCAAAAGAAGAAGGGGGAGGCCACAAGGTTCGAAGAAGCTGAAGGTTTGTGTAACGGACGTCAACCTCATGGAGCTGGTGTCAGGCATTTCCAACGGTGGGTCCACGCAGCCCCAGAGAGGAAGAGGGCGTCCAAAACTCTTGATTACAAAACACACAGAGCAGGAGGTGTCGGGGGACGACCATGCTCTTAATTCTGTGCCAACTCACAGAGGTAAAGGGAGGCCCAAAGGGTCCAAGAACAAGACCAGTAAAGAAGACAGTACACCTAAGAAAAGAGGCAGACCCAAAAAGTCTCTCAGCAATAACACCCCTGGGACTGAACAATTACCCAATGGTGGCTCTGTGCCACCAAAAATGAAAAGGGGTCGTCCAAAAGGATCCGTGAAGCGTGTGTCAGAAAGTGGTAAAGAGGGGGAAGGCAGTTCTGTAAAAAGGAAAAGAGGCCGACCAAAGGGTTCTCCTAACAAGAAACCCAGACTGCAGACAGAGGTGAGCAGCGAGGGGGAGGCGGATACTGACGGAAGCCTAAACTCACCCACAGAAAGGGTGGGAGGTCGGCTCAGGTCAACACAGTCAAATGGCATCTCGGACACGCCTAAGAGACGGAGGGGAAGGCCAAGAAAAAACCAAGTCACAGATGGCTCCCAGCCGGTTAAAAGAGGAAGAGGTCGACCCAAAGGCTCTTTGAACAAGAAACGCCCTGCTTCTAAGGTGCAAGGTACGATAAGCCGGTCTCAGAGAGTACAGGTCAGACCCCTACGACTAACATCCTCACCACCATCCAAGAGGGGAAGGCCAAGGAAGAACCCACTGCCAACACCTGTGGAGCGGAACAAGCCAAAAGTATGGAAACCGCTCGGACGGCCGAGGAAGTACCCGCGTGTTGATCCTCCAGAGGGCGCTCCGACAGCCCCTCGCAGAAGTCGCGGTCGGCCTCGCAAGTCCGAGTCCAAGAAAGGTGCGCACCTGCGCAAGCGTTTGCCCGCCACATCCTCACCGAGCAACCCTGACCGTGCATCCCAGAGAAAAAGCGGCCAGGCTCTAAGTACTGCAAAAAATGAAGCTGTTGTACCGCGGAAACGGGGACGTCCGAAAGGTTCAGTAAACAAAAATAAAGCTAGAGTTGAAACAGAGCTGGACAGAGCGTCAGCAGACGGTTCAAAAGAAAAGAGCGATGCTCCTGCTGTTGAGGAGGAACATGAAGCAGAACCAGCAGAGGAGGAGGTGGAGCGCGACGTGCAGACGACCTCCACCGAGCACGTGGGCAATACTGAAGACATGCTCATCGAACAAGACGCAAACTTTGAAGTCAGTGACCAGGCTTGATGAACTGACCAAAAAGTTGCTGTAGTAGTTGTTTTAAAACATAGAATCAATCTTTGTCAATGAAAACATGTTTTTAACATTTTGTCGGTCGGGTAGAAAAGCAGGATCAGCGGCTCCTTTCCTGACTAACTTGTTCATTTTGTTTTAAAAAAAAAAAAAAGATTCCTTTATTTCTGTCATCTGAGTAAGCAGTACTAAAAGTCTTTTACTAGAACTGGTATGTAAAGTATTATTATAGACTGTTCCAGTTTTCATTTAGCTTTCAGGTGTATTGTTCGTCAGTTTAAACGTGACAGTAAATCTGGTGCTGGGAAAATGTTGGGAGAGATGAGAGAGCAAAAAAAAACAAACAGCCGAAGTGGTGGCGTCACATCCGCAGCGTCTGTAGCTCAGTGAAGTCTCTCACTGACTTTACTTAACTTAACTTTTAGGTCAAATAAAATTCCTGTTCATGGAGTTTATTTCCATGATATTCTAGGATGAACTTTTTGAATTGATCAAAGTCAAATCATGATATGAAACCATATGAGGTCTCTTAAGCTCTGATAAGCTACTTTCAGACGTACACTGAAGTCGAGAAATGTTCATAGCAAATTTATATTTTAAGAAAAGTTCTTATCAAGTTGATTTCCTGTGGTTCATCAGTTACATGTTAAAGGCACCTTAAACAGAAATAATGACAGCAACGAGATGAGATTCACACAAACCTGGACTGGAGTTTTAGTCATTAACATTATTCTAAATGTTGACGATATCTTTGATTGAACTGAAACAGAATCTGGAAGTGGCAGCTTCACTTCGGCTCTCGGTTGAGCGTCTGTTGGGAGAGTTTGAAGAGAAAATATGTTGAAATGTTGTCTCTTTTTTTTGTCTAAATGCCATTTCACACTTGATCTTGTCGTCACATTTGTTTTGCCTTAATTGTCAAAGCTTTGAATGTATCATCAGTTTCTTTTTTAATTTAGATCAGTGAGTACTCGTGCACAGACCGGCCTCTTAATGTTGTTCTGTGAAATGCATTCCTGGACTGGACATTTGGCCTTCCTGCCGCTCTGTAGATTTCCTCCTCCACTTGAAGCATTTCAGTTTTGAGTTAAATGTGTTTTCCACCCTGTCCTCCGTTTGCTTGTAGCTGTGAAACTTTTTATTTTTTTAAATAACTTCATGAGATTAAGGTGATTGGGTTGAATCCATTTCTTTGCTTTTGAGCACCTTGTGTAAATATATTTCGCGTGACATGACTTGTACATTATTACTCATATTAACACCTCTGTGGCCGGGTCAAACATGAACGTTTCCAAAATGCCAAATTGTGCTTCTGTGTGTCCAGTTCTGTAAAAAAAAAATACTGTGAGGTGACAGAGGTGAGGTCGCATCATGATTCGATCTGGCCTCGTCGAGTCAAATGCTTTTAAGGAGACATATTTGGATTTTGTGTGTTTTGAACAAGAATCCAATAATTTGTGAGAACATGGTCTTGAAATAAAATGTTGATCTTGCCGTTTTATTTTTCACAGTGTGTCGTTTCGTTCTTGCTCTTTAACTCTGCGCAGTTGAGATTAACGACGTCAGACATAGAGAGAAATAAGTTGATAATAGTGTTGCAGCTCCACCCTCACCAGTCTGATGACGTGACTCATGCACAAGCACTTGAGTAAAGCTAAGTCAAAGATCGTGTTTGTTCTGACAGATGAGTCACTACGCCTCCGAAACCACCAGTGAAAGAAAAGGGTGTGAAGTAAAAAAACAAACAGCAACAGTGCTTTCATTCAAAACTATTTCACAGGGAGTTTTAACATTATTTGTGAAATAATAATCGGTTTAAAACAAAGTAGAAATACACTTTAACAATAAAATTAAAAACTAGAATTATAGTATTATCCCATTAATGTAATTGACAGGATTGTAGTTGAGTGTGTACCGTACTTCACATTATTTTTACTCAGTGGATACGACAGCAGAGGGTCTACAGTTCTGTCATGGAATATATATTCTTGCTTAATAATTAATCATAGTCCAAGGTAAAGGTCCACACTCGCTGCAGAAAGAATGTAGCTTTCACAGATAAACAATGTGGGAAACAGCAATTGGAGCATTTATTAAAAAAAAAACTCAGGTTTTTGTAGTAATTTATTTTTTGGTTGGTTTTTTTGAACAATTTTTTCTGTTTTTTGGACAAAATTTTTTTTTCTGTTTTTCGGACAAATTGTTTTCTGAGTTTAGAAAGCATTTGAAACAAAAGACGCATTAATTCCTTTATTGGGAGCTCGATGTGATGGAAACAAACATGACCAGCTTGTTTAGTTTAATCAAGTTTTACTTTGATCTGGGTTTAAGACACTGGGAGATAGTCCTGTCTTTAAGTCACACAGATGTATTATCATTAGTTTGTCGACTCTGCGGTTGTTCAGAAGGAAAGCCCTTTCAGATCTGCTGAGATGGGGCATGTACTGTATGTGCGGGCAGGAGTCACCATAGGTCCATGGCAGTCACTTGCAGGTTGGAGGTTCTTGCAGGAGTTCGAAGTATCCCGATGATTTAGAAAAAAAAAAACACGACAAAAAAAATGTGTCCAAAAAAACGAAAAAAAATTACTCAGAAAAACCTGTTTTTTTGTTTTTTTTCAAGTGAATGCAATAC